TTGCTGTGGGGATCATTTTGGTAGTTAAATAGGTGGCATAGGATGGTTCATTATTTGGACCTCTATTTAGATTTGCATAGACTCCTATGTCGAGACCTGGATAATAGTCAGTAAACATTAACTTAGCATAAGCGCAATTTTCATTGCGCCGAACCATTATTTCTAAGCACCTGGTAGAATTATGCCAGATCAGGTAATCAGTACCCTATATATCAGTTTTTTTGATTGGTTTACACCACCGAGAAACTTTAGACTTAGTCCAGCTGGATGCCAATCCAGAAATTCTGAAATATACTGCCTGGGAGTTAACTGCATCACACTGCATTCCCTTTGGTAATTTTCCACAAAAATGGAGTACCACACAACAATGACAGCCTCGCTCACAGAGTGGTAGGCCTGAGTGGGAGTCTTCTCTGCATTCTTCTTTTCGGGCGTCCCCTGGCACCAGAGGTACAAGCATCAGCAGTAGTGGGAGAATCTTGAACCATAAAGTCCACGTCTTAATAATACCTGAAAAACATAGCACAAAAGCACAGGCCTAACAGACCCAATTAACAATCCAGCATAATTGCAATGTTTTCTTTAGCTTCCCTTCCAGTCTTTTAACTGTGAGGAGTGGAACCATTTCTGGATTTTTCTTTTTGCCTCACAGATGTCCACTTGATACACAGTGGGGCTAGCTTTGTTGATGATATACACTGGACCCTTCCAGATAGGAACAAAGGTAACTGTATCTGGGGATCGATACATGACCTGGTCTCCAACTTTCCACTCCTTGGGTCGCAGCAATGGACCTAGTTGCTTGTCCATCTTCTGCTGATTTTGCTTTAGGGATGCTGCAATTTGTTTGTGAGTTGCAGAAATCGCCTGTAGCAAATTTCCAATCCACTTGTCATTTAAGACATGTGGCTGTAAGGAGTCAGGGATGGTATCTCCTAACCACCACTGTTGAGGCATTTTCATTTTCCGACCTGTGAAAGTGTCATGTGGGGAGAAGCTGTGAGCAGCCATAGATCCTCACACAGCCATTAATGCAAGAGGAAGTTTTTCATCCCAGTCTGTTCCTTGCTGCTCAGATGCCTTTTTCAGTGCTAGTTTCAGTGTTCGGTTTGTTCTTTCAACTTGTCCTGAGGATTGTGGGTGGTGTGCGATATGAAGTTGCTGTTTGATGTTTAGGGTCTCACACAGGATTTTAACGCATTCAGCAGTAAAATGAGAACCCTGATCTGAATCAATTTCATCAGGCAAGCCAAATCGGGGAAAAAGATTTCATTTACCAGTACCTCGACAGTAGTCATGGCATCGTTTTTTCGAGTGGGAATTGCTTCAACCCACGTGGTGAAGGCATCTACAATTACAAGGCAGTATTTAAATCCTCTTTGTGTGGGGCAGTTCTACGTAATCAACTTGCAGTCGGTGCCATGGTCCTTAAATAGGCTGATGCCCCAGTGGCCCCTTTATTCTTTGTACATCAGGGTTGTTTGCAACACAAGGTAAGCAGTTATAGATAAAATGCTCCACATCCTCTCTTATGCTGGGCCACCACCCTGCTACTTTTAATCGCTCGAGTGTCTTTTCAATCCCAAAATGTCCATCTCTGTGTACTAGTTCAATCATTTCTTTTCTTGCCCCCTGTGGAACTACCTACACAGCATTATTATCTCCTTCCTTTTTGACTAGCACCAAGCCTTTGGTATCTTTCCAAATTTCCCAATTTCTGTGCTTGCCTTGCTTTGCCAGTTTTTGAACTTGGGCATCAGCATCCTGTAAAATTTTTAAATCAGGAAGGTGTGTCTGTTTACTTTGGATTGCAGCTATGGGTGAAAAGTTACTTGGGACAGTCCATATTGGGCCTATTTTGGCTCCTGCCTTTGCCGATTCATCTGCTTGTGCATTATACTGGGCATCGAAACTTTGGTTTGTTTGGTGTGCTTTCACCTTACCAAGCTCTGTACGCCCTGTTCTTTGTTCTGCTAGCTTCCAAACGTAGCGTAATTTATTTCCATGTGTAACTGGCTTGCCATCAGATGTTCTCCAGCCTCATTTTTCCCATAAAGGGATCCAATCTAGCAATGCCCTAAGGACCCAATTTGTATCTGAAAATATAACCACATCTTGTGATTTTTTTCAGCGTGCTCTAAGGCAACTGCTATAGCCACAACCTCAGCAGCCTGTGCCGAGTGTGGTTCACAACTGCCCCGTATCTTTTGGCCAGTTTTAGGATTTATGACTTCAAATCCTGTGTGGGGCTTGCCCTTGTCATAGAAACAAGATCCATCTGCAAACCATACTACGGTGTCCTCTGGCACTTGGTTTGGCAAGTACAAACAGTTATTGAAGGGGCTCAGTTTTTCTGGTGTTGTTAATATCTTAGGGCACTCATGACTGTCTGCAGTTTTGTTACCTATCTCTTCATCTTCCCCTCCTTCCACCGGCCATGCCGTAAGGGCAAAAGGGATAAGGCACGGGTGGGGGATTTTTTCTGCGGTGATATTTTTGTTCACCAGTGTTAGCATCCAGTGGGCTAAATGTGGATTAGAAACTCGGCCTTCATTAACTTTTCTAGATAAAACAAATTGAATGGGATTATGGTCGGTACATAATACTATAGGGCTAGAGCCTATAAAATACTCCCAGTGTTGGAGTGCCCATGTTAAGGCGAGTACTTCCTTTTCACATGGTCTTTATGATTGTTTTGGGGGTGTTAGGACCCGGGAGACATAGGCCACTGGGTGGGGTTTTGTGCCATGATCTTGCAAGAGCACTGCACCTAGGCTGTGGTCTGTGGCAGCAAGCCGCGGCTCAAAAGGCAACTCGGGCCACGGATATGCCAGCGCTGGAGCCTGGGTTAAAGCTTGTTGCAGCGCATGAAAGGCTGACTGCTGCTTGGGGCCCCATTCCCATCCTTCCCCAGCCTTAAGCAGGCGATATAAAGGGGAAGCTAATTCTGTATAGTTCTCAATGAACTCCCTGGAAAAACCTGTAAGTCCTAGGGAAGAGTGGAGGGTGGTGACATAAGTTGGAGCTGGCAGTTTGTTAATTAGCTCAACTTGTTGATGGTCTGGGCTTCTACCATCTTGACCCAAGCAAACCCCAAGGTACTGGACTTGCTGAAGGACTAACTGCGCTTTTTGAGGATTAACTTGAAACCCAGTGTCCTAGATGGTTTGCAGCACCCTTTGAGTTCTGTCTAGACATGCTACACGTGAATGTGCAGTGATTAAAATGTCATCAACATAGGAGATTACATGAGGCTGGTCCTCTGAGGGGAGCTGATCCCACATACGGATGGCAAGGGCATGACAAATGGCTGGTGCATTGTGGAAGCCTTGAGGAACACAGGTAAAGGTATACTGCCTTCCCTTAAAGGTCAAAGCAAATTGATACCAAGGGTCAGGGTCAAGGGGAATTGCAAAAAATGCATTGGATAGATCTAACATGGAAAACCATTGTGCACCCCCGGCTATGAAAGCCATAACCTCAGGATATTTGACTACTATTGATGCCTGGGCAGGGGTAAATTTGTTAAAAGCTTGGAAATTAACAGTCAAGCACCAGGTTTTTCCATCTGCCTTTTGAACTGACCAAGTAGGGCTGTTATTAGGGCTGGCTTGTTGCACTAAGATGCCTTGCTGGAGTAGACTATTGACAGTTTTTTGCAGGCTGGGCTCTGCTGCAGCTGGGAAGCGGTATTGTCGCTGAGGAGGGGGGTCTAGACCTGTTACTCTTTCAAGGGCATTAATTTTTCCACAATCTAATTTTGATTGAACGGCATTTGCTATGCTTTGAACATCAGTGGGCCATTTGGGTCGGTTTAGAGTTTCAGGCCAAACAGCGTAAGGGCCAAACAGCGATGTGCTGCATGGATAAATACGGTTTCTGTGTCTTGCTCTCTCATGCTGAACATGAACTGTTGAATTAGAAAGGTCTACAACAGCCTGTAGGGCCCTCAGTGCATTTATTCCTAATATCCCAATTCCTCCTAGTGGGGTTAAGGCAAACTCAGCCTTACTTGTGGACAGGGCGGTCGGCTTACCAACCCAGAACTGTAAGGGAGTGGAAATTGAGGCAATGGTCGAATGGCCATTAAATTCCTCAAGGGTTAGAACCTGGGGACCTCTAATTTGAGAAGTCTGGAGTCCCTCACAACTTAAAATGGACAAGGATGCGCCAGAATCTAAAAGCATTTGCTGCTGCCTCGGTTTCCCCAGAGATCCTGGATCTTTCCAAAAGACCTGGATCTCAGGCCATCCCCATTGATCATATGTTATCGGCACAAAGGTGATTACAGGACGGACTGGGGAGACCGGGCTGACCTAATGTTCAGTGTGAGTGGGAGCATTCGGTGAGGTACTGTTAGCGTTGCCTTGTAGGCTGTGCTCCCGGTAGCTAGCCAAGCGGCAAAGAAGCTCATGTGTGGGCAGTCCATCAATGGCATCTCGGGGGTTCGTACTGTAGTAACTGGCACCATACCTCTGTCCTAAAAGAATTAGTAGTGTTAACTCTGGATACATCTCGATCAGTGGGGCGGCTGTATCCACGCCCATGACCACCACGATATGCGGCAAGAATAATTAGCTTTTTTCTTTTGGTTAGGAGCCAATGCCAGGGTCGTGTTATGGGCATCACAAAGCCGTGTCTGCATACTGGCTACGGAGAGGCCAAGTGGAAAGTTAATTGCCACTGGCCTCAAGTCACTCTTTAGTGACTGTATTACTGCTGTTTTAAAATTAGGCGTGTCATAATTGATTGGTTGATCCAGAGTTGGGGGTGGAATAATTTCTGATAAATGGGCTAAATTTTTTTTCTTATTAAGAAAGAAGCCTGGGTGTTCTCCGGGCTTTTGTTTTTCAGAATAAAACAAGCCCAACATATTCTCTTTTGCTCGAAAATACTGAGTAACTCGCTTTAGAGCTTCTATGGGATCTACACTTAGTCCAAATTTAATTTTGTTGGGAAGTGCAGCGTAGTGAGCGGGTTGCATAGATTCTCTGAGTAAAGCAGGTAAATCAGATTGGAAATGGAAGGTAGGCATGTTACAGGCAGTTGTAGCCAGTCTAAAACAGTGGAGCTATTTAAAGGGCCAAGGGATTTAGCCAAGGCAGCCACCTGTGCAGGCTCCAGCGGGGAGCTTTCTAACTGTGAGTGGGTACGGATAACTTCATTTTCAGCATTTAGGACTTGTGTGGTATGGGTAGTGACAGGTGCCATTGCTATACCTGGATTTATAAGTGCAGGGGGAGCTGAGGGAGAGGGAGATGCCAGTGGCGTCAGAGATTTGTGATCTGTGGTTATCAGACACAAAGGGACAGGAGGATCTGGACTATATGGAGGTGGAGATGATTCTGGGATGTTACTGGGGAAGGTTTGAACCACCTTGGGATGAACAGCTGAGATAATACCTCTGGAGGCTTTTAATTCCTCCTTAAGGGCAGCAATCTGTTGATTGCGCTGGATATGATCAGCATCCTGATGCTGTGCCTGATGGTTTTGTTCTAGCTCTTGCTTGATTCCTCCCTCTGCTTCTTCTGCTTTAGATTTCCAGTGATCTATTTCAGGTTCTAATTCCTTAACCTGCCTCTCTGCTTCCTTCCTGCTTTCCCTCTCTTCCTTAATGGTGTTAATAAAGCCAAAGCTCTGGGCATGGGGTTGCAGGGGGGTAAGGCTTCGGTCTGCTCTAGGTCTGAGGAAGATCTCTGGAAAGGCTGAGGGAAGTCTCCAGGTAGAGGCTGGGGTTCATGGGGGTGGAAATTATCTTCTGTGATCTTAGGGCACTAGCCTGTGACTCAGGAGACCAGGTTTCAAGCCCCTGCTCTTCCACAGACTCCCTTGAGCCTGGGCCTCCCTGTGCCTTAGCTGGGGTAACGTGGGGGTGACAGCCCTGACTTCCTGCACGGGGGAGCTGAGGGGTTACAGACATTACAGATCTATGTGGTGCTTGGATATAATGGGGCTGGAAGCCAAGTGGCCAAAGGGCAAGTGAGTCCCATCCAGGTGGTGCGGGAGGCCCGGCAGGTGAGAGCCGCAAGAACCTGAAGCAGGAGAGGAGACACTGGCCAGGGGTGGAAAGACCCGTCTTGAACTAATGCCTTGGGTGGGCTGGTATCTGTCCCCTCAGAGCTTTGCCTCCAGCCTGTCATCGGAAACCGCCACCACTGCCACCTTCCCTGCTACCGATAACTACACCTTGGTGGACTTTGCCCTGGCTCACTTCCGGGAGATCCAGACCTCGTGAGTAGCTCATGCCCCTTTTGCACTTGGGGCAGGGTGTGTATTTGTGTGGCCATAGCTTTGCAGAGGGATCTGTAGGCATCTGTGATACCACCACAAATCTCCAATCTCTCTAGGCTGGGATGGAAGGGGATGAGTGCAGAGAAGAGAAGCATCGCTGTCCTGGTCCAGTACACCAAGGTGGGTGTCTCTGGGTGAGGGAAGGATGGGGAGCCTGTGGCTGGACAGTCAGGCCCCTGGTCTCCTTTGGGATGCGGGGCAGTTTGGAGGCAGCACTTTGGAGTGAGGCTGGCCTCTTCCTAGAACCTGCAATGCAACAGGTCACCCAGCTGCGATTCTCCTGCTTACCCTGTGCTCTGGCCCTGCAGGTCCCAATCCAGGAGCCGCTGCTCCCCTACTCTGACACAGAGCTGAATGAGCTGGCTACAAAGAATTTCATGAGTAAGTAGCTGCCCTTGGGCACAGCACTGCAGGGGCTGGCTGAGATGGCTCCAGTGGCCACACAAATGTACTTTCCCATCAGAATAACCCAGTGGGAAGGGATCTCCATGGCACAGGGGGCTCCCGTCTTTAACAGCCACATGCCTGCCTTGTGTGCAGTGTGCTGACAGGAGAGACAAGTGCCCAGCCCCAGGGTGCACTAGGGTGAATAGACACCAAGCCCCCAGCTCGAGCACATCCAGACCAAGTCTAATGCTTATCCCTGCCTTGCAGCTTTGATGCGCTTCATGGGAGACCAGCCAAAAGTCAAGAACCAGGAAGAGATTGATTACTGCTATGAAATTCTTCAGGTGTGTGACCCTTCCTGGTGATGTCCAGGGTCCCCAAAGGGGGGTCAGTCCAGGAGCCAGGTTCCACAAGGGAAAGGGGCAGGGGGTCTGTGATCCAGCCTTGTTGATGGGGGGAGATAGTTAAGCATAGGAGCCTGTGATTTTTGCCGTCTTAGACATTGCTCCATCACAGGCCCAAGCTCAGCATCCTCTGCTCCCAGGCAGATTCCAGGCCCATGTGGTATAGGGGCAAGGGCATGAAAACCTCTGGGTGGGCTGTGGGAAGCCCAGCGTTGTAGGATGGTCTGTTGGCACTTGAGGGGTGGGAGACAAGGACAGGGTCAAACTTTGACACTTCCTGCTGCCCTCATGCAGCTCTGCAAAGAGAAGGAGAACCTGCGCGATGAGATTTACTGCCAGGCCATCAAGCAGGTCACCCAGAACCCCAAGCCGTGAGTACAGCCACTGCTAAGTACAGACACTGGCCAGAGCTCAGCGCACACATGGGAGGATGGGGCTGCATGGCTGGAGGAAGGGGGTGGGAGCATGGGATGGAAAGAGGCTGCCAGACCAGGTGTGAGGACAAAGGTAAGGGGTGGGGGGTACCGGCCTCATGGGCAGCGTGAGGACAATTGGTGTGGGAGGGCCTGCAGTGGGAGGGTGGGCATACAGGTCCAGGAGGGAAGCTGGTTGAGGAGCCACTTCACCACTGTGATCAGCAGGGAGTTCAGCACAGAAACACAGAACTGAGACTCCTTTTCACCCGCGGGTCAATCAGCAGTTCCTTCATGACCAGTACAATTTCCCTGATGTAAAGTGGTGGGAGAAGATGGAGAGAATTGGGACCTTTGCACCCCATCATTGATACCACACATGGTGTCAGGTCCCAGTACTGGGCAATGACTCCCTGCCACTCGTGCCCTGGCAGGGCGTGCACTTTCCAGGTGTGTCTCTGGGGGCTGCCAGTAAATTCCTCTATTTCCCTGTTCAGTCCTGGCTGCTCCTTGCTCTGGATTCCTGTGCCAAACCTGCACGAGTTAAACAGTAACTCAGGGTCAGGCTTAGTCAGTGGAATTATTGCTGTCATTTCTGAGCTACAGGTGTGTGCTATAGGTGTGCGCTGGCCAGTGAGTCAGGTGAGCCCTCATGTCAGAGCTCCCTAAGGTGACTGTTGCCTCCCTGATAAGCTGACGTGGTGCCTGGGCTCAGATATGCTCCTGCCTGGCTGGTTTCTGAGAGGCCACACATGCTTGTTCCTTGACTCTGCTGTAGGTGAGGTAGGCAGAAATGCTGATCAGAGACAGTAGAGGAGTTACTGCATCTTCAACTTGTAATGGAGGACTATGAGGGGGTGCCTGGCTGGACTCTGCACTCCCTGAAGCAGGGCCTGTCTCACTGTTTGGAGGCCTGGTCTAGACCAGTGGTTCTCAGCCTTTTTGTACCAGGACCCATTTGTAAACGTTGATGGCCAGTCCTGACCTAGTCAATAGTTCAAGTAGAAAACAGCCCCCTGGCCCTGCTGGTGCCCCTCACTCCCGGCCCTGACTCCTGGCTCCTTGCAGGCTGGAACTCTCCCAGCCTACAAGGGAAAACCCGCGGTTTCCCATGCTTTTCTTCTTTGAAGGAGAATCCATTTTTAAAGTTTGTTTGTGACTGTTTCATATATTTTTGTGACCCGCTTTTGGGTCGTGACCCACGGGTTGAGAAACGCTGGTCTAGACACTACTTTGTGCTGAGAGAATAGCTCGTTACAGCTGTTCTTTAACTCCAAATCTTTCTATGCGAGAAATTCTGATGAGGACATCCGAGGCCTGCACCCATGTAGCTGATTCCTGACTGAGAAGGGCAATTAGCTGTACAGGTGTAGGGCACCATTATGTAGGGATGGCTGCTTCTGCAGTGAGGGTGTTGCCATCATCGCTATATCAGTGCAGTAACAGAGGTGTGGGCATGCACAGCAGTAGTTCTGAGTGGCTCCTCCCAGCATGATTGTGATACTGGTGACAAAGGTTAGTGGGATGGATCTAGTTTGCCTGGATGCTGTTGGCTCTTGTTCCCCACAGATGACATAATGGAGCCAGCCTGGCACTAATCCTGTTATGCTCAGATGTAGGGATCTCTCTTACTCCCACCTTCCCTTCCTCTTCCTCCAACTAGGCAGCCATGTTCTAGTGAGCTTGGCACTCTGAAGAGCAGAGGTGTTGTCACTTGAGGGGTGGGGGCATTGGTTTTAGTTCCCTTTAACCCCCTACTCCCCATGAAGACCTCCTTCCCTTTCCACCTCTGCTGCTATCCCAAGAAGCCTATTCCCCTGTGTTTGTTTCTGCCCTGCAGGGAAAGCTGTGCACGTGGCTGGATGCTCCTGGGCCTGCTTGCAGGCTACTGCCTTCCCTCAAGCATCTTCATGCCCTACGCAACCAAATTCTTTCAGCAAGCCAGCTCTGATCCATCCAGCATATACCAAGGTACCAGGTGCTTCCTGGCCCCGTCAGCTCTGGCCAGCAGTGCTGGGGGCCCAGAATGATTTTTTAGCTGATCCAAACTTTCCCTTGGCTTGTAGGATGGGAGCTTGGGCACATTTCTAGCAGACTCTTAGTCTACAGGGAATCGCCCTGAGCTGAGCCTAAGGAATGAGAGACAGTGCCCACTAGACGTGTGTGAAGCTGTCCCTGGCTAGTGCCTCACTGGTCTTTAGGAGAAGACCCTTCTCCCTTACAGCCCCTTCTTGCTGTGCACACACTGGAATGGAGAAAGGCTCTCAACCTCTACTCTAGGTCCTGCTTTGGACCCTGTGGCCCTGGGCAGAGGGGTCTGTGGAGCTTGGGGTGAAATTCTCCTAAGAATGAACAGATGAGAAAAGGCTGGAGGAGATCCTTGTGCACAGTGCACCTGACTGTCCCCTACCATGATTATGCAGGGGCAGAGTGGGGTGGGGGTAGGTGCCTCTCACCCTAGAACAGCGGCCTTTGTCTAGGAAGCACCTTTCCAGGGAGATGCAGCCTAGTGGGCTTAGATGCTTAATCCCTGCTTTTCCTACAGAAATAGCCAGCACCTGCCAGAGCAACCTACGGAAGACGGTTATGTATGGGGGCCGCCGGCATCTGCCCTTCCATGTGGAGATGGAAGCACTTCTGGTACGATGGGGGAGAACAGTAGGGTGTCTGGGGAATGAAGGGTGGCAGTGCAGGGAGGAGACAGGTGCTGTGGGATGGTGAGGAGGGATGAGGTGCACTGCAAAAGGTGAACTTGCATGACGAAGAGTGGGGTGCTGGGAGGGAGGCAGGTGCCATGGGGGATTGAGGAGGAACATGGGTGCCCAGGGTAGGTGTTGGGGCAGGTGCTGCAGGGCAGGAGGAGGCAGGTGCCTTAGCATGGAGATGTGGTGTGCAGCATGGGGAAGGTGGGTGCTGTGGTGTTGGCCAGGGGAGGGGGCTCTAGACAGGCAGACATAAGTGTTCATGGCCATGCTGTGCTCTCACCCTGTGCTTTCCTCTGACAGAAGGGGCATGGGTCCCGCCGGCTGGTGATCTTCCTGCCTGGAGTCCTGGAATATGGCACCAAAATCCGGACATTCACTGTGAGTTTCCTGCTGCCACCCAGCTGCACCCCTTGCCTTGATCTGGGCGGCATTATCCAGTTCCAATCCATGTGGGGAAGCCCCTTGCCTTGTGCTCTTAAAAGGATGATTGCTAGCCCCTGGCCCTGGGCCTGGCCTCAGCTTCTTGGCACACAGGGTGTTTCCACCATCAGCTCCTGCTCCCTCCTGGGACATGAGGGCATCAGCACAACTCACAAGAGTCCTTGTAGTGCCAGGGACACCAGCCTGGTTCTTTATGTCTGTGCTATGGCTGTGTAGCAGGACAGCTCTTGGAGCCATCACCTTCCCATCTAGAGCACTGGGGACTGGGAAATCCTCTGTCCTCTGGGCTCAGCCTGTAAGTGCTGCTTCTGGGCAGCCTGCCCCTTCCTCAGGGCCAAGAACACCTTTAGCCCTGAGTCCCATGACGACATTTTTTGGATTCTGCTGTGTGGCTCTGCTGCTTCCTGGATACACTCTCCCTACAGCAGGCTGTGATCCCAGACACATTGGACAGCTCTTGAGAAGCTGCGGGCTCACCCAGTCATGGTGTTCACTTGTTCCCCTCCTCCTCTCACTGCAGGTGGCTGCAGACTTGGTGCAGGAGATCTGTGAGCAGATGGCAGTCAGCGAGACGCAGGAAATCAAGGAGTTTGCTCTTTTTGCCACTAAGGACAATGGCAAGTAGAGGGCTCTTGTTGGGTGGAGGACCTTGTACCTGGTGAGATGAGGTCTCCATGGGATGGGGTGGCACCTGCATGTCATGGTCATGGAATGGCAGGGTTGGGAGGGAACTCAAGGGTCGTTCTGTGTTACTTGCTCCTGAAATGGTCCCCTCCATTGATTGCTACTGCTATTTGATGCTGGTATGTTCTGGGGTGGGTTGTGCCTGAGTAAGGAGAGCTGGGGATCCCAGGTCAGTCACTCTCTCATGCCTGTGTGTGCAGGGAAGGTGGCCAAGGCAATCCGTCCAGAGGAGTACATCCACGACTATCTGCTAGAAGACACTTCATTGAAACTGAAGATCCGCAGGCTCACCTGGAAAACCCCACTGCACTTTGAGAACGAGGTTTACATCAGCCTCCATTATGGCCAGGTGAGAGCTAGTGTCGGCACTTGCCATGCAAGTCCCAGGGGACTCCTGCACAGTATGTGCCTGGAGCAGAATCTAGATTTCACCTACACAACCAAGGCATCTCTCTGAGGAGCCAAGTGCCTGTGGGCTCTTGAGAACTTCCCGGGGGCCTCCTACAGAGACCAGATCAGTGATTGTCACACACAGTATCCCACTCTTAGGAATTGCCAGTGTTCATCCTGTGTGGTGTTTCTGGGCATATGCGTATGGGTAACACTGTAGAGAAGCAGGGGAGCCAGTCAGCTCCTGATGGGATGGGGTTGGATTTGTCCCTGCTTGTTGTCAGACAGGGTGAAGCTCCAGTGAGAGCTTCTCACCAGCAAAATGACCCAAGGCTTTGTAATTGCCAGCCTGCAGTGCAGCTCCTGCCCATTACAGGAGGAGCCCACACTTGCCAAGGCCTGGTGTGCAGGGAGAATGCCAGGCCAGCATTTGGGCTGGGTTGTTTGGCATTCTTATTCATGCCTGAAGGACCTCAACACTGACAAGTGCAAGGTGCTGCACCTGGGGAGGAAGAACCAGCAGCATACCTACAGGCTGGGGAACTCCCTTCTCGCCAGTGCAGAGGCAGAAAAGGATCTTGGAGTCATTATTGATGCCAAAATGAACATGGGCCGACAGTGTGGGGACGCGGTCAGGAAGGCCAACCGTACCTCGTCATGCATCCACAGATGCGTCTCGAGCAGGTCCAAGGAGGTGATCCTCCCCCTCTATGCAGCACTGGTCAGGCCGCAGTTGGAGAACTGCATCCAGTTCTGGGCACCGCACTTCAGGAGGGATGTGGACAGCATTGAGAGGGTCCAGAGGAGGGCCACCCGCATGATCAGGGGGCAGCAGGGCAGGACCTACGAGGAGAGGCTAAGGGACCTGAACCTGTTCAGCCTCCACAAGAGAAGGCTGGGGGGGGATCTAGTGGTCTGTTACAAACTAGTCAGAGGGGACCAGCAGGCATTGGGGGAGTCCCTGTTCCTCCGAGCAGTACCAGGAGTGACTAGAAATAATGGTCACAAGCTGGCAGAGGGTAGGTTCAGACTAGACATCAAGAGGCGCTACTTCACGGTCAGAGCAGCTAGGATCTGGACCCAACTTCCAAGGGAAGTGGTGCTGGCTCCTACCCTGGGGGTCTTTAAGAGGAGGTTAGATGAACACCTTGCTGGGGTCGTTTGACCCCAGTACTTTTTCCTGCCATGGCAGGGGGTCGGACTAGATCTGCTCAGGTCCCTTCTGACCCTACCAACTATGAACCTGCCTCTTCCCACCTGGATGAAGTGGTTCCATGGATCTTGTCCCACTTCATGGGTCATGCTGTGCCATGGCTCCATCAAGCAGTGTGTTAAAACTGCTTAAGGGGACTGTGGTGGTGGCAAGACCAGACTATGAAAGGCTTTAACAGGGGTTTGGACTGGACCCAGAACAGCCCCTGCTCACAAATGTGTGCTACGAGTTTCCTTGGGTCATGGGCTATTTAGCTGCTGGAATAGGGTCTGCAGCTACTGGGCATATGCATTGACAGGATCTACATATATAGCAGGAGGCTGCACAGACCAGCTCTTAGCCACTGATAGCCTTAACTGGTGTCCCTTTGCTGTGCTTGCTCTTAGGTTCTGTCTGATTACTTGACTGGGAAGCTGCTGCTGAACTACAGCAATGACCTGGAGAAGCAGGTGGGCACCTTGGCACTGTTTCAGCACTGGGCCAAGAAAGTGGACTTACCACCCTCCAAGTAAGTGTGCCTCCAGTAGAATTTTTATGGGACAGTTAGCCAGGAGTAGAGCTGTGCTGTGTTCAGCCCAGGGTCCCAACGCTGAGGGTAGCCAGCACCAAAGGAAAAGTGCATGGAACCATCTCATGGATGATGAGGAATCAGTGAATGTCCTCCTTAGCCAAGGGACTTCCCATAAGCTCTCAGCCCCAGTGGCAACTTGTGTCAAAGTCCCACAGGCTCCTGATGAGGAAGTGTTCTCTCTGAACTTATTGCCCTTTGATTCTATAGAAATGTTTCCTTGTTCATTTTCACCGGGGCCAAAGCTCTCACACTTGAGAGCCTAATGTTGGCCACATCATAAATATGGATGAAGGTGCCTGGGTTCAGCATAGGTCTATGGAAGACAGCTGGAAAAAAGGGCCTGAGGGAAGAGCTTCCGTACTTCAGCTGTGACCTTTCTGTTTGGACTCTCCTCAAGTGTCTTCATGTGCTCTGTTCAGTTGGGTGGTGTTGGCAGGGAGCAGGATCATCTGAGATTCCCAGGAGACCACAACAGTAGAGATTAAACTGCAGTGCAGTGGTTGAGATCTTCTGCACCATAGGTGCACATGGAGTGATGTGTGGGTTGGGGTAGCCCTTGAGGTCCACCTGGCTGGTTGTCCCCTTGAGAAATGCATCATGGTCTTACTACAGAGCTTGACCCTTCATTATAGTAGTTGCCTCTGGGAAGGCCGTTTCACCAATCACAGGCACATACGTTTCTTTCCCACAGAAGTTGAATGTCCCCCATAATCTCTTCTGTCTTAACTCTGGTATAACCTATTCCACCTTCCCCTGGCCCTGCTGATCTCACATCCCTTTGATCCAACTAGTCCTGGGTGGTGATTCTGAACAAATCGTGTTTGGAGGTGTCTTACATTCTTTGCTTCTCTGAATAGGGAGGAGATAATGGAGTACACCCCAAAGCAAGGGCTTCCACCCATCAACATGCAGAATCTCCAAACCACTGTCAAGCAGCTGCTGGCAACCACACGGCCACTTGACCCAAAGGAGGCAAAAATCCGTTTCATAGGTGAGGCTACCACAGTGGTGGGTCATGGGAGAGGCAGGGCCCCCAGCAGTAGCTTGATCCCTAGGCTCAATAAATGCCGCTGGCTTCTAGGTGCAATCCACATGGTGGATAACAAGCAGGTAGTCAGGACTAAGCTACCCGAGGCACACTGCTGCAGACCGGCATGAAGGCCTTCTCAGCTGGGTCTTGGGGCCTACCAGAGCCCAGATTCCTTCATGTGCCTTGAGTAGGTTTGGGTTTGGTTTTATGGTACTCTGGCCGAGTTCACCAGTGCAACTCCCTTCCCATAGAGCATGTGGTCCAGCTACCACTCTTTGGCTACAACATTTACACTGTGGAGAGGACCAGTGACCAGAGGATCCCTGTACCCTGTGTCATCGGAGTGAACAGGGAGCAGATCATCCTGGTGGACAGGGAGACTCAGGTATGTTGCCCTTCCGCCTCTCCCACCCTGCTCCCTCCAAAACGCCCCAAAGCTATTCACCCTGTGTTTTCCATCTTGCATTTACTTTGACTTGAGGAACCGGGTGATTAAATTAGAACAGCATCTAACCAGTGGCAAAGCAGGTGCAGCTGTGTTCTTCTTGTTCCTGGTGCCTGGCAGCACGACCCCAGCAATGATGTCAGCCAGGCTCTCCCTTCCTGCCCTGGATTGAAGCAGGACTCATCTCATGAGCCTAACTAGATCTTTGTCTTTGAGACCTTGACTGGTTAAAAACTTCCCCCTGTGGGGTGCTAGGGACATGTAGCCCCTTGCAGCATCAAGTCCGAGGCTACCTTGGCCTCAAACAGGCCCTCTGTCTTTCTGATGGGGTGGTTCTCTCCCTGTGTACAGGAGATCCACTTTGTCCTCCCACTGAAGGAGATGCAAAGGATGAGAACCTTGAGGGCCATGGATGACTCCGGGTCACCTGGTCTGGAAGTGAATTACGGCACTGCTGAGGATCCCAAAACCATCTGGTTTGAACTGCAAAAGGTAAAGAGAACAGCCTGAGCCATTGCCACCTCCTGGCAATTGTAGTATAGCTACCATGCTTGCTACTACATCTGGATCACCTACATTAGGCTCCTACAAGGAATCCTCCTTTCCCCAGACCCACTGCATGTTCATGCTACATCCAGCCAAGGCCCATGCTGATTTCCAGGGAAGGCTGCTACTGCCCAATTCTCTCAGAGAGGTGGACTGTACGGACTGCACTTTCTAGCAGCTATATTCCAACCAGAGCCAAACTATGTCTGATGGGGCACACTGGAAACCATAGGCACCAAAGATCCTCCACCCGTTTGCATTAGAGAGGATGGCAGCTGGGTGTCACCTAAAAATGCACCATTTCATTTGAGTAGGGCATGATGCTTTCCTCTCTAGCCTTATCCCCCGCAGTTTCCAACCACAGTGCTGCACATAGTACACATACCTTTGGAAGGAGGGGAAAGGAGCAGAGATTTACTGGGCAGGACCAGGGGATTGTAGTACCAGCAGGATACTTGCAGGGGAAGAACTTCAGCAACTGGATCTGCAAGCCTCTGTCTTTTCTGATCCATGGGTAACAAATACTGAGCAAGTTGCATGCTCTAGGCAATATCAAAGCCCAGTCTCCCTGCCCAGCTGAAGATGGGGTGATATGAACACTAAACCACTGTGTGCTGCTCAGAAGCTGTGTTGCAGAAGCCAGAGGCACTCCAAGGGCACAGGCAGCGGGAAGTCCACCCCCCAGTTCAGCCCAGTGCTTGAGGGCCTATCCAGATGGGAAAGAGCCCAGATTGACTGGTGCTGAGGGGGTCATCTGTAGCAGCTACCCAACAGGGATACATACGCTGGTCTCGCTGCCAAGTGCAGCAAGGCACTCCAGGCTTGTCTGTGCAGGGCACCTGGAATGGAGGGGTGAGTCACCTAGAGGTGACAAGAGCCCCAGCCCCCTGGATGTGTGCTCTCAGGCTACACAAATTTAGGGCCCTTCTGTCTACTTTAGGAGCACACAGGGCCCCATTTGCTTGAGTTCTGGTGCAGCCATTTCTCACTGTTAAGCAGTTTACTCCACCCTAAGAGCTTGTCTCCAGGGAGGGAGATTAGAGTAAGCATCTCATAGAAGAAGCTTTATTGCAAAATCCTTATTGTGCTCTGAGTTCACCAGACTGTTTTTTCCCCCACTAATTTCCCAGAGTTGACCCATTCTCCTCTTTATGCAATACATCCTTTGATGGTACAAATGCTGTTGCAACAACATAATATAATGCAAGGTCCAGGTGACAGTACAACTATTTCCACCTCCCCAACTACCAGCCCTAGTGGTAAAAAAGCCATAAGATTGTCCAGAGAACACACTGAGGTGAAGCCTATTGAGTTACATGGGTTCTTAAAGCCTGGCTACTGTCTAGGAAAGATCAGGAGTAGGGAGAAGACTTTTCCCAAAGGGAAGGTCATGGCAGGGGCAAAGGAAGACAGCAGTTCAAGACCATAGCCAGTTAAATAGAGATCAATATGGTCTCTGTCTGCATCTGAATTTCCTCAGCAGTGCCAAAAAAAGCAAGGGGATGGGAAGGGGGCATAAAATGAGTAAAGTAGAATTTACTCAAGCCGATTTCTATCTTGACAGGCTAAAGAAATGTATCATACGATCTCCATCATCTTGGACGAGGGAGAATTTCAGCTTTAGAGACGCATGCCAGCCCTCTTTGCTTCAGCTCTGGACACCACATTAGCACTCCTGGCATGAGCTCTGACAGTGTTCAGAGGTGCCCTCCCTTCCCTGCTGCCCAGGATTGTCACCACATCGAAGTTCCATCTTCTATCCTGCCTCACTACAACTCTGAACAGCCTCCCCTCGTGCACCCTATCACCTCTTCAGACCGCAGAGATGTCAGCTGCCTTCACTGTCCGCTGGAGTTGTAGAGGTGCCCCACCCAGTAAGCCTGGCTTCCAGGAAGCAGAACAAGATTGGCTTTTTTCCACAGGCTCTGAGCCCCACTCCTAGAACAGCCAAGCAGGTGAAAGTAAGGAAGGGAAAGGCCAGTGACTTCAGGAAACAGCAGGGGGTTGCCTGGGGTGGCATCCCTCCCATGCCAATTAATCTCTCAAATAGTAACAGCAGCAGAGACTGGTGCTTTTCAGAGACTTTGCATCCCAAGGAGAAACCAGGGCTCAGATATGACTGCATTTGTCGGGGGTGAAGTGCCTGAGACCAGCTCCTACTCCACCCTGAAGTGCAAGAACTGCCCTGGCCCAGATTCCTACCAACAGAAACCTGCCTGAAAGCATCCCCATAACTCACAGGACAGATCAGCATTAATACACAATCATGACACCTGCCAAGGCAGAGGTTGGGTTGCATTGGTAAGAAAGTTTACTGCTACATTGGTTTACTATTAACTGTACAGTATATGCTGCTTTTTCTTTCTAACATAGTCCTCACTTAGGCTAAGAACTCAGTCAGGTATCCACAGATGTTGTATCTCAATTCTATCTCCCCACTGGAATATTATGGATTGGAGGAAAGAAATGCAAGGTCCTTAATTTATTTTTATTACTTTGGATTCCCAGTTGGACTGATGAGGTTTATGCTTCTGCAGAAGCAAAATTAAATTTTTTTGAGCTGCTAAAGAGTAAGTTTATTAAAACTAGTAACTACATAATACAGACATGTGCATTGCCTTAGGAGGGCTAAGAAGCACCTGCTTCAGGGGAAGGTGGGAAAGTATGAGCAGAAGGAGTGGAATGTGGACCATGGAGTTAGTTACAAGTGGGCAAAGGCAAGGGCTGCTGGGAGACGAGTGTGCACGTTTTCAACTGGTGGAGCTGGGAATTGCTGCTGGCCTTACCCTGCCTTCTCCTAGTGCCCTGGAATGGGCAGATGCAGCCCTGTGGCAGCAGAAATGAGGGGAAGAAGTGCTACCATGGACAGCAGAGGTAAGATAGTCTGAGCAGCTTTACACATCTTTCTCCTTCCAGTTCTCTTATAAGCTCCTAAGGGCCTTTCAGTCACCAGAGTGTGCACCTGCAAACAGCAGGTCACCACAGTAGCATTGCAGTGCATGACACTAATATAACCTAGAGCACCTTGGAGGTCTGTAGCAAGGCAGATAATCAGCCAGCAGCACAACTTCTCTGCTTAAAGATCTTGGCCAACTCCAACAGGGCAATCTCTGCTCACCTGAAGAGTTTGGTGGGTTGCAGGTAGGCGTATTGTTTGAGACCCAGCACCAGCTCCTGCTCAGTTGTGCACACCCCTCAAACCTTACTCTCTAGGCTAGGGAGTTTCTATGGCAAATTTTAGGCCCACTGCAGAGTGCCACTTCCTGATCCAAATCCAGCTGGCAAAGCAGTACTCATAGGGGGAGAGAATCTAGTGTTTCCTTCCAGCAGACATTACCTTTCAGTTGCCTAAGGGCCTGAGCCCTTCTTACCTCTTCATTCACCATATGACACCTCTTGCATGGTCAACAACAAATACATTTCAGTAACAGAAAAAAGTTCTGTGTAGAATGAAACAGCAAGAACTAAGAAGAGAGCCTGTAGCAACAGTCATATTTATTATCAGTTTGTCACGTACCCTTCAGTACATATAAAAAGCCCAGTTTCCCCAAGTACAAGCTACTTGAAGCTCATTCCTCTCCTGGCTTCTCAAGCGGTGGGTCAGTCTAGCAGCACTATCTTCTCTAGACAAACAAAGGCAGAACCCAACAAAACACCAATGTTCCTGGGAGCCAGGTTAAGACTTACTGGCTCCCTCCACTTCGGGGCTTTGTGCAGATAGAGTAGCTCCTAGCATACTCACAACAGTGGGTGTCTAGTCAGCATCACTCTCTATATTGCAGTCCCTAGGCTAGGCACAGCTAGTTGATATGGCTTTTAGGAAAATGCAAGGGGGGGGGGGGAAAAAAAGGTCACCCACTTTGATGCCAACCCCTTATAAACATAACCATTTGGGGAGATTAATACTGAGAGAGCAGCCAGCCAGTCTATTACAGGGCAGTAAAGCCCAATTTGTATTTAAAAGGGCAGACAGAACTACCAGCAATAAGTTACATCCAGGCTTAAAAGAAACAAACACAAACGAAAAAAAGACCTACTAGGGCCCCTGGTTCTAGCTGCTGCAGGGTAGGACTGTTTTCTCTTTTCCTTAGAATAAGTATCA